TCTTCCTTCCATCCTTCGCAGGGCGATGTGGGGCTGGCTATGGGGAAGCTTTATGGGAATGACTTCAGCCAAACCACCATCTCGCGCTTTGAGGCACTGAACCTCAGCTTCAAGAACATGTGCAAACTCAAACCTCTTCTGGAGAAATGGCTGAATGACGCTGGTAAGGAAAGACGGCGGGGTGGGATTCAAGCTGAGGATGACCGGTCTGAGAGTTGGATAATGTTAAGAATGCCTGAGAAGAAAAGAGAATTTGGTCAAGGAGACTATTGTGAAAGTTGCAGTGAAGGTAACAGGAAAGAGCCAGATGCATTCACACACAAGCTATTGCTCCAGTTTGGGTCACCACAATTTTTTTTAAAAAGATGTTGAGACTCTGAAAAGAGTGCGGAGAAGAGCAACAAAGGTGAGAGAGATGGAGGCTAAAACATATGAAGAACGGTTGCAGGAACTGGGAATGTCTAGTTTAATAGAAAGAAGGACTAGCAGAGACATGATAGCAGTGTTCCAATAGCCACAAAGAAGAGGGAGTCAAACTATTTTCCAAAGCACCTGAAGGCAGAACAAGAAGCAATGGGTGGAAACTAACTAAGGAAAGAAACAACTTAGAATTAAGGAGAAATTATAAGTGAGTGAGAACAATAAACCAGTGGAATGGCTTGCCTGAAGAAATTGTGGATGCTCCATCACTGGAGGATTTAAAAAAAAGGATTGGACGCCCATTTGTCTGAAATGGTATAGGGTTTCAAGTATCGGCTTGAGCAGGGGGTTGGACTAGAAGACCTCCGAGGTAACCTTCCAGTGCTATTATTCTGTTACTCCTTTTTTTTTTAAAGGGCTTTCCTGCCATTGGTAGCCCAGGTAAACAAGCTTAGCATGCAGTGGGAAGCCGGTAAACTATGGCTCATTCAAAAACCATAGTTTAGCATAATGTAGGGGCCAAGTGGCAGCCTTCGTGGCTGAGCCTGGCAGAAGGAAGATGGGGTAGCACGATACAAGCAGGATTGATTGGTGGGAAATAGGGCACCATAAAGAGCATATTACCTTCCAGGGAGAAACTCAAGGGTGGGATTCAGCTGGTTCGAACCAGTTCGGGCAAACCGGATGCTAATTTTACATCTGGTTCGCCGAACCGGTACTTGCAAGGACTGGCTGGCCTCGCCCATCCCTCCCCTCCCCGGACTCTCCTCGTGGCCCATTTTGGGTGCCAGGTAAATGCAGGACCTGTGTGGAGGCTCTGGGAGGGCAGGAAAAAAACCACCTGGAAGTTCCGGATGTCTGGAAATAGGCCCATTTCCAGCCTCCAGAGGATTTTTGCCCTCCCGGAAGCTCAAAGAAAGCCTCCAGAGCCTGGGGAGGGCGAAAAACAGGCCTCCCGGAAGTCTGGAAACAGTTGCTAAAAGCTTTGAATCCCACCCCTGGAGAAACTTTGTTCTTCTTTGCTCCATCAACACAGGATACATTCCTACATAATTCCGATTAAGTGGGGGAGAAAAGTGATGCCATTTCTGGGGTCGGGTCGTATAGGGCAGGGGTCTCCCACCTTGGCCACTTTAAGTCATGAGTCTTAAAGTTGCCAAGATTGGGGAGCCCTGGTCTAGATGTGCCTGATGAGCCTTACTCAAGAGGCGAATAAAATGTTCCTCCTCCATACGTTGCAGAGACAATGTCCGTGGACTCCACGCTTCCCAGCCCCAATCAGCTGAACAGTCCCAACCTTGGTTTTGATGGGCTGCCGGGCCGACGCCGCAAGAAACGGACGAGCATTGAGACCAACGTCCGCTTTGCATTGGAAAAAAGCTTTCTAGCGGTAAAAAAAACACGTTTCCCTCCCTTGTCCCTCCCCTCCCCGAGGTCATAAAGTGGGCCAAATCCTGGTTAACAACTGTCTTGCTTAGCAACAGGCATTTTGGGCTGAATATTGTGGTCGTAAGTCAAGGACTACCTGTAAACCCACTGCAGGTGGCTGTACAGTCAGTTTTATCCATTTTGTCCGACTGTCAAAGGATGGTTCCCTGTCCTGCTGTTTGCTCCTCGCTTCTCGCGAGGACCGGATGTTGCTCTTACGCTTCTATCTCCCCCGACAGAACCAGAAGCCTACCTCAGAGGAGATCTTACTTATTGCCGAACAGTTGAACATGGAGAAGGAGGTGATTCGTGTCTGGTTCTGCAACCGCCGCCAGAAGGAGAAACGGATCAACCCTTGCAGCTCTGCTCCCATTTTGCCTGCCCAGAGCAAGCCTCCTGGCTACAGCCCTCACTTGGTAAACTCCCACTTTTTCCTCCCGGGTGACCGTCCGTCTCGGTTGGCCTCTCTTGTGGCTTTCCCAGGGGGACGCCGACGTTTGCAAAAGTCCCCTTGAGGGACACATTATTTTTGCCCACTCAGAAGGCTAAGAGTTCAATCCTAGGTAGCGACAGGTACTTCTCTCCTGAGGCGCGAAGGAAAAATATCTGCTGTGAACTCTGCATAGGTGTCAGGAAGGGCATCTGGCCAGTAAATGCTCAACTCCATTCAGTCGTCCCGATTCTGCCCCAGTTAGGGGCTACAGAGTCATAAAGCAGGACCTATCAGTGCAAGTTCTTTATCTGTGTTAGAAGCATCTTCAAATGATAGACATGCAGTGTTCAACACTGAGCAAGTAAACCAGTGCAGGTAACACCCCCCCCCCCAAACTGCATACCCATTCCATCTGGGGAAATGCAACCCGTTGGAGAACTAAGCTTGGAAAATCCTCAGTATTGACTGGTCCATGAACCCGCAGCTACTTAATCACGCTGAAATAGTGGCTAAGCTAAATGTGCCTCTCCATCCAGACGCCAACAGCTTCCAGGCCCTGGGACAAGGCTTGGCAGCATCTCTTGGTCAGCCAGGGGTTCAGAGATACGGTTGGCTGTCCTCAACAGCCGGTCTACTATGGCTGATGCCATCCCCTCCATTCAACAAGTCCCTAAGTAGCCCTTTAGGGAAAACCTTTCCTGCCCCCTGGTGGTGGAAGAGAGAAAGCGTGCTACCTGTGTCTACATCAATCGGTGTCGGTGACAGATTCCTGTCTATATTTTTCTTCCTCAGGTGACCAGCCCAGGCACCGGCACAGGTTTGCCCCTCTCCCAGGCTTCCAGTAGTCTGAGCACAACAGGTACACGCTCCCCCTTTATTTCCCTTTCCTTTATTTCCCTTCGGAATAGTTTACTGGGCTGGGAGTGATGAGAGCTTGTTGGGACTGGGGGCATTAAATTGACCTTCTTAAGCACAGGACTATAAGAACAGCCTGATCTTTGACTCACGAAGTTGGTTGAGGGATTTTTGAGATTGCTGGGACTCTGGATGATAAGAGGGCAACATCAGAAATTGATCATATTGGACGCAGTGGTGGGTTTCAAAAAATTTTGGAACCTCTTCTGTAGGTGTGGCCTGGTTTCTGGGTCCACTGGTGGAACCTCTTCTAACCGGTTCGGTAGATTTGACGAACCGGTTCTACCGAATAGGTGCGAAGTGGTAGGAACCCACCTCTGACTGGGCGCCTGAAATTGGGGAGGGGGGGCACTTGGTTGCAGTCTTCTGGGATCATGTGATCCCCTTTTGCAACCTTCTCACAAAGTCAGTGGGGTAGCCAGACTCCCTTAACAACTGCGTTATTAGCAAAAAAAAACCATGCAAGGACGCGTTTAACATCCATGGCAAGGAAGGAAAATCATAAAAGAGGTTCCACCAGTGGACCCAGAAACCAGGCCACACCTACAGAAGAGGTTCCAAAATTTTTTGAAACCCACC